ACACACACACACACACACACACCCCCCACTTTTGGGAACACCCTGTACACACACACACACACACACACACACACACACACACACACACACACACACACACACACACACACACACACACACACACACACACACACACACACACACACACACACACACACACACACACACACACACACACACACACACACACACACACACACACACACACACACACACACACACACACACACACACACACACACACACACACACACACACACACACACACACACACACACACACACACACACACACACACACACACACACACACACACACACACACACACACACACACACACACACACACACACACACACACACACACACACACACACACACACACACACACACACACACACACACACACACACACACACACACACACACACACACACACACACACACACACACACACACACACACACACACACACACACACACACACACACACACACACACACACACACACACACACACACACACACACACACACACACACACACACACAGGTGTTATGCGCGCGCGCGCGTGTGTGTGTGTGTGTGTGTACAGGTGTTGAAAAAACAACATAGCACAAATTTACCTACGTGTTCGTCAGACAATTCTAAGAACAAAAACAAATTTTTTATATAAACATGTATCCAAAACGGCTTAGTTTTTGAGATAGAGGGCTTTGAAAATTGCAATTTTTTTTTATAACAATAACTTGGAAACTAATGACAATAATTAATTAAAATTTGGCACATATCTGTACTTAAGTAAACTCTTTCTGAAAATGCCAAAAAAGTTTTTGAATGAAAACTAGAAATAAGGGTAATAAAAAAAGCATGGGATAGTTTTAACTCTATCTTTGTGAGAATAAAAAAAATTCTATTTGAATATCAGATTTTAAAAATTCAATGTTTTTAAGACTATTTATTATTATTATTTATTATTATTATATTATTGAAAAAAATTGCAATTCTCAAAGCCTTCTATCATAAAAACTAAGTCGTTTCGGACACATATGTTTATATGAACTTTTGTTCTTAGAATTGTCTGTGGAACACGTAGATAAATTTGTACCTTGTTGTTTTTCAACACCCTATATATATATATATATATATATATATATATATATATATATATATATATACAAGGTGTACGAAAAGTCTCGGACCCCTGAATTTTTTCGAAAAATACGCATTGTAGAAATAATGTTTCTGACGAAAGTTTTGAGTGACGCATCAGATAGTAGTATGAATATGACCTTGAATAGCGTTGTGAAGGTGACGTAGAGATCACCTTTAATTTCTTAAATGGAACTCCCCATTTTTATGACATATTCTTGTAGCTTATCTCAAGAGTTTTCCAAAACACTATAATAAAATATTTTTTTCGTTAAGAACTTTTCAAGTAATTACATTTCAAAGTTCCAGCATTTTGACATAGAATACAAAATATCTTGTAAAATATTTATCTTTCGATTATCTTGCAATAATGCTTTTTTGCAGAGAATACTGATACAAATTAATTGGCTTAAAAAAAATTAAAAATTTTCTTATATTTATTAGGTAAAAAATTTTCATTTTTTTAAAGCCAATTAATTGGTCTCATTATTCTGTGCAAAAAAGCATTAAGACAAGATAATCGAAAGATAAATATTTTACGAGATATTTTGTATTCTATGTCAAAATGCTGGTACTTTCAAATGTGATTACTTGAAAAGTTCTTAACGAAAAAATATTTTATTATAGTGTTTTGGAAAACTTTTGAGATAAGCTACAACAACATGTCATAAAAAATGGGGAGTTCCATTTAAGAAATTAAAGGTGACCTCTACGTCACCTTTACAACGCTATTCAAGGTCATATTCATCCTATTATCTGATGCGTCACTCAAAACTTTTGTCAGAAACATTTTTTCTACAATGCGTATTTTTCAAAAAAATTCAGGGGTCCGGAACTTCTCGTACACCTTGTATATATATATATATATATATATATATATATATATGTATGTATGTATGTATGTATGTATGTATGTATGTGTATGTATATGTGCATATA